GTAGTAAAAAAATTATAAAAAGCAGCCCCCCCTGCTCCACACCTGCCCGACACCTGCCCACTCTCAGGTCCTCTCAATTCTGGTGGATACTTTCCCCTGGCATTTATGCCAATATAGCTAAATTAAATTCTTATCTCAGTGTTTCTTAAATATAGACATTGCTGATTTCTGTCCCACGCCAGCCCGTCTTCCCGTGATTCTGTTCCTTCCAGCATAACGATGTCCCAATTTGGGGGTTAATAACATTTTCGTTGTTATAAGCGTGCAAATGTTTCTCACCAACTCTGCAGCCTTTTGCGAACATGTCACTTCTCCTGCCAGCAACATCTCCCTCTTTCGTCTACTTCACCTTGATTTCCAGTTAATGGTTGCCATTTTTTTTCTAAATGTTCCACCTCCTCAAAAACCTATCAATGTTTTCCCTGTTGTTGCTTGATCAGGAGGCTGTCTGGAGCCCCCCTCCTGCAGCCGTCTGCGGCCCTGCTCTGCTGCAGAGCGTCTGCTGGGACTCCCTTCTCACTGGAGGGTGTCGCAGCTGCCTGCCTCCTGCTGCCCGTCTTCCTCTGCCCTGGTTTGCACCCTTGTCTTGGTGCAGCCTGTCCTGCGGTGGCCTGGGAGACCACGCTGTCGAGCACCGCATGACTGAAAATATCTGTATTCTACCCTCACGTTTGATTGACAGTTGGCTGGCTATAGAATTCAGGCTGCAAAAACATTTCCTTCAAATATGTTAAGCCTTTGTGCCGTGACTGTCTAGCTTCCATATTGACGGTTGAGATGTCTGGTGTCATGATGTCCCTTGACCTATTTTGGTTTACTTCTCTTGGGAACTTTTAGATCTTATCTCAATCTCTTTATTTCACAAGCATGTCTCTCCCTGCGTTCTTCATTCATTTCGTTTGGTACTTGGTGGGCTCTTGCATAACGAAGACGCACGTCCTTCGATTCTAAGAAACTTTCTTGATTAATTTCTTTTGTAATTTCCTCCTCTTCATTTTTCCTATTCCTCTCTTTCTAGAGCTTCTTTTAGCTCGATATTGGACTTTCTGGTTTGATCTTGTAATTTTATCTTTCTTTTCCTAGTTTCCTTCACTCTTTCTCATTTTTTGTTTTAGTTTTTATTATTTTTATTTATACATATTTATGGGGTGCAGAGTGGACTGTCAGTATTTGTGTACAGTATGTGATGATCAAATCAATATTATTAGCATGTCCGTCAGTACAAATCGTAATTACTTTGTGTGTCCCTTACCCAATTAGTCCCTACCCCCACTCCCCGTTTCTCGCCTCTAGTAACTAAGGTCTGTTCTCTCCTTCTGAAAGTTCAACATTTCATTACAGTCTTCCTCTCTTTCTTAGTTTCTTAGCTCCCACTTATGGGTGAGGACTTGTGGTATTTCTCTTTCTGTTTCAGTACAAATCGTAATTACTTTGTGTGTCCCTTACCCAATTAGTCCCTACCCCCACTCCCCATTTCTCGCCTCTAGTAACTAAGGTCTGTTCTCTCCTTCTGAAAGTTCAACATTTCATTACAGTCTTCCTCTCTTTCTTAGTTTCTTAGCTCCCAATTATGGGTGAGGACTTGTGGTATTTCTCTTTCTGTGCCTGGCTTATTTCACTTATAATTTTCTCCAAGTTCATCCATGTTGCTGCGAATGGCAGAATTTCATTCTTTTTTATGGCTGAGTAGTATTCCACTGTGTAGACGTACCACGTTTTCCTTATCCACTTGTCCCTTGATGCACATTTAAGTTGGTTATTCAGCTGTATATTACAACTCTTCTGTTCATGTTTTGAATCCATTTATCCTATATTTAATTTTCAAGATTATTTCCCTTTTTTGTAGCCATATGTTCTAATTTAATAGATACAACTTCTTCTCTTATCTCTCCAAGGATATCATCTCTTCCCACCTCCACCTTTATAAATC